ACCGGGATGGAGGGGGACGTGCTGCAGGGGACCCCAGGGTGGGGCACACACACCACAGGGGACACTGAAGAGGGACACATCCCAGGGGACACCACAGGGGACATCAGACTGGGAGGACACGTGCCACAGCGGAGCGAAGAGGGATACATCGAGGGGACCCCGGGCTAGGGAGGGGACACGCCACAGGGGACATGCTGCGGGGGACTCTGGGGTAGTGGGGTCACCGCAGAGACACGGCAGGGGACCCCGGGCTAGGGAGGGGACACGCCACAGGGGACCCTGGCGCTGCCCATCAGCCGGGTCCCCCTCCGATGGGTGCCACCCCGGTGCCACCGCTGTCCTCGTGGTGTCACCCACCAGCGGTTGCAGCGCTGGCGGATGCTCTGGCCGGGCCCGTAGCGCTGTCGCCGGTGGTGGCAGGGGCAGGCGGCGGGGGGGACACAGCCGTCCCCGTCCCGGGCCAGCCCCGGGCCGCACTCGCAGCCGCCGTGGCAGTGGCGCTGGCACGTCCCCTCCTCGGCGCTGCCCGCGGTGACACAGGTGACCGGGCACAGGGACACGCAGTCGGAGAAGCGCTGCCCGGCGCCGCAGCGGCGCTCTGGGGACGGGACACCGCGGTGGCACCGGTGGCACCGCGGAGAGGGGTCGGGGAGGGGCCCCCCCGCAGTTCCTACCGCAGAAGCCGGGACGGCGCCAGGGGACATGGACCTGGCGGCGGGAGCACTCCCGGGAGTACGCGGAGAAGGTGTCGCAGGCGGCGGGGGGCGGGGGGACGGGGGGCGAAAGGGGGTCGGGGGGTGACAGGGGGTCGGGGGGTGACAGGGGGTCGGGGGGTGACGGGGGTCCAGGGTCCCCGTCCCCGCACAGCAGCGCCAGACACGCCGCATAGAACCCGCTGGGGTCCACCTGGAGGGGGGCAGAGGGGAGGACCCCATGTAAACCCCTGGGACTCCCACGCCCCCCAGACCCTTCCAGGACCCCCCAGAATCCCCTAGACCCCTCCAGAATTCTCCAGGACACTCGGAAACCCTCCCGGACCCCCCGGGACCCTTCTGGACCCCTTGGAGCCCCCCTGGAGCCCCCTGGACCCCCCAGAACCCCCTGGACCCTCAGACCCCCCGGGACCTTCCAGTATCCCCCAGGACAGAACAGGATTCCCCCAGGATCCATCAGCCCCCCCCGGACACTCCCAGGACCTTCCCGGTAACCCCCTGAACCCCTCGGGACCCCCCCCCCGGCCCCCCGATGCCCCCGGGTGCTGCTGACCTCGCCGTGGCACTGCTGGAAGGGCTGGGCCAGCAGCTGCCCGCACGTGGCCACCGCAGGTGCCACCTCGCCTGGGCCACACCTGGAGCCACCCTCCGGCACGTCCCTGCATGGGGGCTGAGCCGGGGGTCCCTCAGCGCCGGGAACCCCCAAATGGGCACGGGGGGGTCACCCCGCCCCCCAGGTGTGTGGCACTGCCCAGGTACCTCTGTGCCAGCTGCCGGCACCTTCCAGGCGTTGCCAAAGGCGGCGGCAAAGGGAGCGACGTCCCCATCGGGGCTCACGAAGTCGTCTGGGGGGACAGGGAGGGTGGAGGGACAGGGGGTGTCCCCCCAGTCCCCAGGTGGAGCGGGGGTGGCACCGGGCAGGTGGCACTTACCTGCAGGGTCGTCGGTGTAGGTGCCGCAGAGCCCCCCGGTGCCCCCCCGCAGCTCAGGCTCCACCGTCACCGTCACCGCCAGGTGCCCGTCCCAGGCCACCCGCACGCCCAGGCTGCTGGCCACGGCCACCCAGTCCCCCGGCCAGGTGACACCGAGCCCTGCGGGGCGGGATGGGGCCGGGATGGGGACAGGGAACCTGGTGGCAGCTTTGCCACCACCGCTGATCCATCACGGTGTCCTGGTGCCACCCAGCGTCACCGGGGGCTCATCCCCACCCTCCCGCGGGTTGGTGGCCTCGAGGACGCACCTCTGTGCAGGTAGGGGTGTCCCTCCAGCACCGCCAGCCCGTTCGCCGACACGTTCCGTCCCCAGGCCACCACCGTGTCTGTCCCGAAGGTCATGTGCAGCACCTGGGGCAGCACCGTGTCACCAGGGATGGCACCGGGACACACAGGTGTGCCAGGGGCCGGGGGATGGCACACACAGGTGTGTCACAGTCATCAGGGATGGGAACAGGACACACAGGTGTGTCACAGCCCATAAGGACAGGGACAGGACCCATCTCAGCACCCATCCCACCTCCCAGCCCCCGTCCCAAAACCCACCCCAGCTCCCAGCCCCCATTCCCTCTCCCAGCCCCCGTTCCCTCTCCCAGCCCCATCCCAACCCCCGGGGGATGACCCCCCGTGACCCCTCTGACACCCCCCATACCCGGGGGTGGCCGAGGCCGATGGTGACGTCCCAGGTGCCGTCGGTGGCCGTGGCCAGGCGGTACCGGCAGGTCCCGGCGAAGCTGAAGTGCCGCCCGTCGAAGGTGCGGAACCGCGTCCCGGCCCAGGCCTGGCACGTGGCCGGGGGGCTGCGGTGGCGCGGGGACCCCCCGTCCCCACCCAGGGGCAGGCGGGTGCAGGGCAGGCAGGGCCCCGAGTCCCCGGTGTCCCCGGTGTCCCCGGTGTCCCCGCGGTGCCAGCTGTGTCCCCAGGGCTGCCGGCAGCACTCGGAGCGGCTCATGGCGCTGCCGTTGTGGCCACCGGGGCCATCCTGGCACTGCCACGTGCCGAAACAGCGGCCCAGGGAGCCCGGGCCTGCGGGATGGGGTGGCATTGGGTGGCACGGGGTGACATGGGTGGGATGGTACCCATCCCAGTACCTGTCCTGGATCCCCAGCACCTGTCCTGGATCCAATCCCAGCACCCATCCCAGCACCCAGTCCCGGCTCCCAGAACACATCTTAGATCCCATCCTGGATCCCGTTCCTGCTTCCATTACCCATCTGAGCTGCCATCCTGGCACCTACCACCGCTCCCAGCACCCATACCAGCACCTGGTGGGAATGGTACAATGGGAATGGCACCCATCCCAGTGCCCATCCCAGCTCCTGTCACCCATCCCAGTGCCCATCCCAGCTCCTGTCACCCATCCCAGTGCCCATCCCAGCTCCCGGCACCCATCCCAGCACCCAGTGGGAATGGGGCAGTGGCAATGGCACCCTGGGGACATCCCTGGGTGCCACCCCCACGTCCCCATACCCTCGGTGCAGCGGGGGCCGCTCCAGCCGGGACAGCAGCTGCGCTCCGTGTGGCTCCGGACCACCGGCCGTGTCTCCGGGGGGCTGCGGGGGGACCCCTGTGTCACCCGGTGCCACCTCAGTGCCACCCGGGGTCACCCCGTGCCCCGTCTCTCCGGACTCACCGGTAGATGTAGCAGAGGGGGGGGTCGGTGCCGGTGTCCCCGAGTGGGTCAGTTTTGGTGTCCCCCGGGGGGTCGGTTTTGGTGTCCTTGAGGGGGTCGGTTTTGGTGTCCCCCGGGGGGTCAGTTTTGGTGTCCCCCAGGGGGTCGGTTTTGGTGTCCCCGGGTGGGTCAGTTTTGGTGTCCTTGAGGGGGTCAGTTTTGGTGTCCCCCGGGGGGTCGGTTTTGGTGTCCCCGGGTGGGTCGGTTTTGGTGTCCCCCGGGGGGTCCCCGCGTCCCTGGCGCGTGCGGTCCCGGTCCAGCCGCCACCCGGCCAGGCTGTACTGGTACAAACTGGGACAGGGCACGGCGGCCTCGCGCCGGGGCGTCACCTCCTCCTGCTCCGTCACCTGCACCGTCCGCTCGCACCAGCGCCTGCCGGGCACCCCCGGAATCCAGCCGGGATCCAGCCGGGACCCAGCTGGGACCCAGACCCATCCCGGCACCCATCTGGCACTCACCACACCTATCCCCACTCCTGGCACCCCCCCAGCTCCCAGCCTGCATCTAAGCACCCATCCCGGGATCCATCCAGATCCCATCCCTGCTCCCAGCACCCATCCCAACTCCCGACATACATCCTGGCTCCCAGCTCCCATCCTGGGATCCATCCCATCCCACAGCACCCATCCCATCCCCCATTCCCAGCTCCCACCCCCCATTCCCAGCTCCCAACCCACATTCCCAGTTCCTGTCACTCAGACCCAGTTCCCACCTCCCATTCCCAGTTCCCTTCCCACCTCCCACTCCCATTCCCAGTTCCTCACCCCGTGGCTGCCCCCACCACCGTCACCCACAGCACGGTGACAGCCACAACCCCCCTGGCCACGCCCGGACAGGTCACTCCAGCCGTGCCAGATCCCATTTTTTCCTGGAAAAGTGGGATCCAGGTGACTCCACTGTCACAATTCCAGGGCCACCCCTGTGGTGGGACCCCCCAGCCACAGGAACGCTCCCAGTGTCCCCCCCCCGATGTCACTCACCGGCCCCAGCTCCGGCACTGCCGAGAGGCTCTGGGATTTATGGAAAGTCCCCAAAAGTGCCACCAGCTGAGGAGACACTGATTGGGCCCAGCTGGCGGCTGGGGGGGAACACGGTGACATCAGGGTGGCATCTCCCTGTTTCCTGGGAGAAGGTCATGGCATGGGACACCCAGGATCCGGCACGGGGGGGGGGGACACGGATGTGGCGGGACTGCGGGTCCTGGTCACACTCAGCCCTTTTGTTCCCATGTCCCTGTCCTGTGCCTTCCAACGTCCCTGTCCTGTGTCCCTGTTTCCCCCCACGTCCTCCTGTGTCCCCTCATGTCTCTGTCTCACGTCCCCTCCATGTCCCCCCATGTGCCCCTATGTCCCTCCATGGCCCTGCACCGTGTACCCCCATATCTCCACTCCCTGTTCTGTGTCCCCCCACGTCCCCTCTCGCACTCCCGTGTCTCCCCCTGTACCCCTGTGTCCTTGTGTCCCTGCCCCGTATCCCCCGATGTCCCCTCATGTGCCCCACGTCCCTCGTGTCCCCATCTCCCTGTCCTGTGTCCCCTCACAGCCCTGTCCTCTGTCCCCCTGTGTCCCCCTGTGTCCCCCTGTTTCCCTCCATGTCCCTGCACGGGGTCCCCCCATATTTTCACTCCCTTTCCTGTGTCCCCCTATGTCCTCCCCAGTGTCCCCCAAGTCCACAGGTCCCCGTCCCACGTCTCCTCCATTCCCTCCGTGTCTGTCTCGTGCCCTTGCCCTTGTCCCCTCCGTGTCACCCCCCGTGTCCCCATGTCCCTGTCCCTTATCCCCGTGTCCTCACGTCCCTCGTGTCCTCATATCCCTGTCCCTTGTCCCCATATCCCCATGTCCCTGTCCCGTGTCCCCCCGTGTCCCCATGTCCCTGTCCCGTGTCCCCCTGTGTCCCCATGTCCCTGTCCATGTCCCCCCCTTGTCCCCATGTCCCTGTCCCGTGTCCCCCCCGTGTCCCTGTCCCGTGTCCCCCCGTGTCCCCATGTCCCTCCCCGTGTCCCCCAGTGTCCCCTCCCCCGTGTACCTCCCGTGGTCCCCAATGTCCTGTCCTGTCCTCCCAGGGTCCCCATGTCCCTGTCCCGTTCCCCCCCGTGTCCTGCCCGTGTCCCATTGCCCATGTCCCGTTTCCCCCCCGTGTCCCTGTCCCGTGTCCCCCCGTGCCCCCATGTCCCTCCCCGTGTCCCCCCGTGTCCCCATGTCCCTGTCCATGTCTTCCACGCCCCCCATCCTGCCCCCCGCGTGTCCGTGTCCCCTCCGGGGGGAGCACACCCGGTACGGCACGGGGTGGGGGGCACCGGGGGGGCACGGGGGGACACCGGGGGGACACCGGGGGACACGGGAGGGGACAGTGGGGGACACGGAGGTGGACACACGGGACCCGGGGGTCCGGACACGGGGGGCGGTCCCGGGGGGCGGGAGGACACGGGGGGCGGTCCCGGGGGGCGGTCCCGGGGCGGGGGGACCGGGGGGAGGACACGGGGGGCGGCCCCGGGGGGCGGTCCCGGGGCGGGGGGACCGGCGGCCACCGCGGGGGGCGGGGCCGGTGGCGGCGGCGGCGGAGCCGGTGGGGCCGGGGGTGCCCCGAGGGTACGGGGGGACTGGGATCGGGACCGGGACCGGGATCGGGACTGGGACTGAGGTCGGGATCAGGGCCGCGACCGGAGCCGGCGGGGGGTCGGTGCAGGAAGGGCGGGGGGGACCGGGGGGGACCGGGGGGATGGTGCAGGATTGGGGGGCGGGGACGGGAAGGGCGTGGGGGTGACAGTGGGGGACGAAAAGGCTTTGGTGGGACAGAGGGGGACTGAGGAGGCTGGGGGACAGTGGCGGGGGGACTGAAGGGGCGGGGGTGGCTTGGGTGGGGTTCCGGGGGGGCCGCGCGGGTCGGAGAAGGGGCGGGGGGGCTGTGAGCTGCTGGGGGGAACTAGGACGGGGAAACCCCCCCGGTGGGGGACCCCCGGGGCGTGTCCCCGGGGCAGGGGGGCCCGAGACTTCCCCTCTTCGCTGGGAGGGGTCAGGGCTGGCGGGGACCCCCTGCACGCCCCCGGATCGCCATCCCTTGGCTGGGGCCCCCCCGGGAGCCCTGGTCCCCCAAGCGAGCCCGCGGCTCTTGCCCACCCCCAGCCCCGCTGAGCGCCGGACCCCCGCACCCCACGGGACCCCCCGGACCCCCACAAACCCTCCTCGAACCCCCTGGACCCACCATGCAGGACAGCGTCGACCCCCACTGTGCCCTGGGTACGTGCTGGGGGTCCTGGGCGTCCGGGGGATCCCAACCCCCTGAGGGGGGTTCAGGGGGATCCCCAGTTCGGGTCTAGGGGTCTCACCCGGTGCTACCCCCACCCCCCGCAGGTCCCGCCGTGGCCAAGATGGAGCTGGAGGAGATGGAGGCACCAGGATGTGCCAGCTCAGGTGGGCATGGGGGTCCCGGGGGGTGTCAGGTGGGCACCAGGGTGGTCCCGGGGTACTTGGGGCCACCCTGGAGCAGGGGGGAGACCTGGCTGTGCCCCTTGTCCCCCCAGTGTGGCTGGTGGTCCCCAAGGTGGAGGTGACCCCTGAAGGCGATGGGGACAGTCTGGAGGACCCGGAGCTCCACGGCTCAGGTGAGGAACACGGCTGTGACACCGGCACTGCTGGGGGTCCCCTGGGAGCACTGGGGCCACACGGTCACTGTCACCCTGTCCTGGGGCTGGGGGCAGTGCTGGGTCCTTGGGTGGCGGTCACTGTGTCCCTGGTGCCACTGGCCTTGATGGTCACTGTGTCCCAGGGCTGGTGGCAGCTCCAGGTCCTTGGGTGACAGTCACTGTGTCCGTGGGCCAGTGGCAGCTCTAAGTCCTTGGGGTGACAGTCGCCGTGTCCCAGTGCTGGTGGCCGTGCCGGGACATCCCATCCCTGGCACGTCTCCCCACCGTGTCCCCGCAGGGCACTGGCTGGTGCGGAAGGTGAAGGTGGAGGAGGAGGAGGAGGACGAGGCCTGGGCAGCCGGAGCCGAGGCCCCACTGGCTCCACAGCCCCTTCCCGGCGCCATCCCCTCTGATCCCGCCGGGACGCCGGGAATCGCCGGCGCCTGCAAAGCGGAGGAGCCGTGCCCGGAGGAGCTGGGGTACGGGGTGCTGCCAACCTGGGGGCTGGGGCAGCGCCCGGACGGCTCCGGGATCGGGATCGGCTTCGGCGCCAGGATCGAGATCGGCCCCGGGATCGGGACGCGCCCCGGGATGAGCCCCGTCCCCGTGGGGCACGAGCGCCGCCCCCAGCCCGCCCCGCGGCCCTTCTCCTGCCCCCAGTGCGGGAAGGCCTTCGGGAAGAAGGCGCACCTGACGCGGCACCTGCGGGTGCACACGGGCGAGCGCCCCTTCCCCTGCCCCCACTGCGGGCGCCGCTTCCGCCAGCGCATCCACCTGCGCTCCCACCTGCGCACGCACACCGGGGAGCGGCCCTACCCCTGCCCGCGCTGCGCCCGCCGCTTCCGCAAGAAAACCCACCTGGACCGGCACCTGCGCACCCACACCGGGGAGCGGCCGCACCCCTGCCCGCGCTGCGCCCGCCGCTTCGCCCACCGCCAGCACCTCCTGCGCCACCTGCGCCTGCACGGGGAGCCCGCCCAGGGCCGCCGCGACGGGCACGGGCACGGGGAGGTGCCCCCCGAGGAGAAGCCGCCGCCCTGCCCGGGCTGTGAGACGAGCCTCACCTGGAAGCAGAGCCCGGCGTCGCACCCGCGGCTGCACACGGGGCCGGGGGCCGGCAACGGACACCTGGATGGGCAGCGGGATGAGGACGGGGACGGGGACGGCCCTGCCGAGGAGAAGCCCCTCCCTTGCCCCCAGTGCGGGACGAGCCTCAGCTGGAAGCAGAGCCCGGCGCCACACCTGTGGCAGCACCTGGAGAACCGACCCCTGGGCTGTGCCGAGTGCGGCCACGGCTGCGCCCAGGACCCCCAGCACCCACTGCAGGCACCCAGTGCCCGGGACCCCGAGCACCCACCACAGCTGCCCGGTGCCAAGTGTGGCCGTGGCTGCACCCAGGACCCCCAGTACCCACCACAGGCGCCCAGTGCCCGAGACCCCCAGCACCTCCTGCAGCCCCCACAGGTGCCCGCTGTCCAGGACCCCCAGTGCCTGTCGCAGGTGCCCGGCACTGAGCACCCCTTCACCCACCACGTGTCCCAGGTGCCCCCCGCCCAGCGTCCCTTCGCCCAGGACCCCCAGCCCGCCCTGCAGGCGCCCCCCGCCCAGCGCCCCTTCTCCTGCCCGCAGTGCGGGCGCGGTTTCGGGCGCAAGGCGCACCTGGCGCGGCACCTGCTGGTGCACACGGGCACCCGCCCCCACGCCTGTGCCCGCTGCGGGCGCCGCTTCAGCTCCAAGGCCAACCTGGGCCGGCACGAGGCCGTGCACATGGGGCTGCGGCCCCACCACTGCGCCCGCTGCGGCCGCGGCTTCACCCGCAAGACTCACCTGGAGCGCCACGAGCGCACCCACAGCCGCGCCGGCGCCGGGACGGGCACCGCTGGCACGGGGACTGGCACCGCTGCCAGCACTGGGATGGGCACAGGGACTGGCACTGGCATCGCCGGGCCCCAGCTGGGCTGGCCAGAGCCCCCCACTCTCTGCCCCTGAGTGCCAGGACGTGCCAGGGGGCCTGGTGGCTGCCGGTGCCACATCCTGAGCGCTGGGATGTGCTGGGAGGTGCCAGGGGTTCCAGTGGCTGCCAGTAGCGCATCCCGAGCACTGGGATGTGCCAGGGGTCCTTACGGCTGCCAGTGATGTGTCCTCGGTACCGGGAGGTGCCAGAGTCTCCAGCAGATGCCAAGTGCTGAATCCTGGGCACTGGGATGTGCCAGGATGTGCCAGGAGCTTCTGTGGCTCCCAGCAGCGCACCTGAGTACCAGGGTGTGCTGGGAGATGGCAGGGGCTCTGAGGGCTGCCAGTGCTGAGTCCTGGCACTGGGATGTGCCAGGGACCTGGTAGCTGCCAGTGGTGCAACCTGAGCACTGGGATGTGCCTGGTTCCCCGTGGCTGCCAGTGCTGCATCCTTGGCACTCTCCACTGGGATGTGTCAGGAGGTGCCAAGGACTTCGGCGGCTTCCAGCCCCGCACCCCAGCACCGGGATGTGCCAGGACGTGCCGGTGGCTCCGGCCGCTGCCGGCGGTGAGTCCTGGGCACTGCGATGTGCCAGGCTGTGCCTGGTGTTTGCCAGTGCCGCATCCTGAGCCCCGGGGTGTGCCGGGATGAGCGGGGGTCCCATCGGGAGGGACCCGCACAGGATTCCGGCCTGGCACGGGAGCGTCGCGGCTCCGGTGGCTCCGGGATGGCCGAACCCCGGCTGAGGGCCGGAGGGGGGGCACGGGGGGACCCCCCAGGGAAGGGGCGGTGTCCCTGCCGTGGCTGTGCCGCGGGGACAGCGGCAGTGAACCGAAATGTCAATAAACCCGTTTTTACGGAACATTCCGGGGCCGGGGGGGGTCTGGGGTCGGGGGGGGATAGAGGGGGAGGAGGCACCCGCGAGTGTGGGCGGGGGCAGTGGAGGGGCGGGGCCAGCGGAGGGTACCCGTCCAATGGGGTGTGGCCTGGGCGGTGGGCGGGGATTGGTCTCCATGGCGACGGGGGGCGGGGCCTCGGGGGCCGCCGGGAGCCGCCGTGCGGTGAGTGGGGGGGGCGCGGGGGGTTTGGGGGCACCGGGGGGGAGCGGAGAGAGATGGGGGGTCTGGGGGGTTCCGAGGGGGATAATGGGGGCACCGGGAGGGCCGGGGGGCACCAGGGGAGGAAATAGGAAGGGTCTGGGGGGGTCCGGGGTAAGGGGTGGGCTTTGGGGGACGTAACGGGGGCACTGATGGGGGGAGCACAGGGAGGCTGGGGGGGTCTGGGGGCACTGGGGAAGGGAAGAGAGGGGGTCTGAAGGGTTCCAGGCGGTTCGGGGGCACCAGGGTGGGGGCAGGCCGGGGTCCGGGGCCTCCGCATGGGCTCTGGACCTGTCCCTGCGCTCCAGGTCCGCCCCCCAAGATGTGCCCCACACGTGCCCGTGTGCACCCGGGTCCCACCGGGATGAGCCCCACATGTGTCCCCACACCCCAGGCCACCCCACAGCCACCGTGTCGCCCCTGAGAGGTTCCCCAGTCCCACCCGCAACCCCTCTCCCCCCTCAGACCACCCTGCGGGGATGGAGGGGCTTGGGGAGGAGGAGGTGACACCCCCAGATGTGCCCCACGTGCCTCCCTGCGTTCCATACGTCCCCCCCATGTCCCAGAGTCCCCCAGATGTGCCCCACGTATGTCCCCAGGATCCCCCAGATGTGCCCCACACATGTCCCTGTGCCCTCAGGATCTCCCATATACGGCACACGTGTCCCTGTGCCCCCAGGATCCCCCAGATGTGCCCCACACGTGTCCTTGTGTCCCCAGCATCCTCCAGATGTGCCCCACACATGTCCCTGTGCCCCCAGGACACCCCCAGATGTGCCCCGCGTGTGTCTCTGTGCCCCACCCACACCCCCCTATGTCCCCATGCCCCAGGACACCCCCAGCCCCCCGGGCAGTTCCCCAGTGCCACCCCCAACCCCTTTCCCCCTCCCAGGACCCCCCCGCGGGGATGGAGGGGCGCGGGGAGGAGGTGCCGGCGCCGGCCCCGGAGTTGTCAGAGCCGTCGGAGGAGGAGGAGGAGCAGGAGGAGGAGGAGGAGGAGGAGGAGGAGGAGGAGGAAGGCTCGGGGGTGTGCGTGACCCCGGCCCTGCTGAAGGCCTGCACGGGCGAGTTCTCCCTCGAGTCCATCCTGCTGCTGCGGCTGCGGGGCCGCGGCATCGCCCACCTGGGCTGCCTGGCCGACTGCTCCAACCTGGAGTGGCTGGACCTGTCCGGGAACGCCATCGCGGCGCTGGCCCCGCTGGCCGCGCTGCGCGCCCTGGCCGTGCTCAACCTGGCGGGCAACCGCGTGGCCAGCGTGGAGCCGCTGCGGGGCTGCCGCAGCCTGCGCCAGCTCAACCTGGCCGGCAACCGGCTGCGCAGCCTGCGCCAGCTGCGCTGCCTGCAGAGCTGCGACCCGCCGCGCTGGACCGCGGGGCCGCGGCCGAGGGGCCGGCCGAGCCCCCCCGTGGCGCCCCGCAGCCCTGGGTGCGGGCCGGGTTCTGGGAGCCGCGGGCGCCGCGCCGCAGCGCCGTGCTGGAGGAGGCCACGCGGCAGCTCGGGGAGGCCCTGCGGGAGTGCCGCGAGCTCGGCCGGCGCGCCGACGACTCCATCGCCCAGGCACAGCGAGCGCTCGGCCGCCGGCACGCCGGCAACTACGGCTTCTGAGCTGCAGGGGGGCCGGGGGCACAGCGGGGCCGGGGGGGCTCCAAATGGGGCCGGGGGGGCTCCAAATGGGGCCGGGGGGCACCCAGAGACACCACAGCCAACACCGGGACTGGGAGACCACCAGAGACACCACAGCCAACACCAGGACTGGGAGACCACCAGAGACACCACAGCCAACACCGGGACTGGGAGACCACCAGAGACACCACAGCCAGGAGCCCTCGAGTTCTGAGCTGGGGGACTCCATATAGGGTTGGGGGCTTCCAAATGGGGCTGGGGGGGTCCCAAAATGGGGCTGGGAGGGCACCAGATGGGGCCAGGGGGCACCCAGAGACAACACAGCCAGCACCGGGACTCAGACCATCCCAGGTGCCACAGCCAGGAGCTCTCAAGTTCTGAGCTGGGGGGGCCTGAGACAGGGCTGAGGGCTCCCAAAATGGGGGCCCAGGGGGCACAAAAAGGGGCTGCGGGGTCCAAATGGGGCTGGGGGGTCCAAAAGGGGCCAGAGGAGCTCCAAATGGGGCTGGTGGGCACCCAGAGATGCCACAACCAGCACTGAGCCCATGAGACCACCCAGAGCCACCACAGCCCAGAGCCTTTGAGTTTTGAGCCGAGGGACTCCCAAAATGGGGCTGGGAGCTCCAAACGGGGCTGGGGGACTTTAAATGGGGTTAGGGGGCTCCAAACGGGGCTGGGGGACTTTAAATGGGGTTAGGGGGCTCCAAACGGGGCTGGGGGACACCCGGAGACAGCACAGCCCAGAGCCCTTGAGTTCTGAGCTGAGGGGGCCTGAAACGGGGCTGGGGAGGTCCCAAAATGGGGCTGAGGGGCTCCAAATGGGGATGGGGGGGCACCCAGAGCTACCATAGCCAATACGGGGGCCACGAGACCACCCAGAGTCACCACAGACCACTCCGGGTCAGGAGACCCCAGAGCCTTTAGCTTTGGACTGGGGAACCCCCAAAGCCACCACAGCCCACACCAGGAAACCACCCAGAGCACCACAGCCTGGCACCTCGGGGTTCTGAGCTGGGGGGTCCCAAACAGAGCTGGGGGCGCATCCAGAACCACCATGGACCACACCGGGACCAGGAGACCACTGAGAGCCACTACAGCCAACACTGGGACTGGGAGACCACCTAGAGCCACCACAGCCCGGCACCGTCAGCTTCTGAGCCATGGGGTCCCAAAACCGGGGCTGGGAGACCCCCAGAGCCACCCCAGCCTGGCACAGGACCACCGGGGGCCACAGAGGAGCTGCAGGGAGCCTGGCCTTGGCTGCGGGACATCGTGGGGACCGGGGGATGCTGGGGGGACATCCCCGGGACAGGGGACACGGTGCCGCTGCAGTAAACACGTCCCAGCCTCTGGTGTCCCTGTGTCCTGCGGCCTCGGGGGCACTGCCTTGTACCCACTGCTCAGCCCGGGCCCTCTGAGTGCCCCCATCCCTGGGGACAACGGGCGGGGGGTGGCACAGGGGGTGGGGACACGGAGCCCAATTCCCTCCCAGTTCCCGTTGGGAATAAGAGCCGGGACAGCGGAGCCAGCACTGGGTTTACTGGGGAGCGGGGACAGGCGGGAGGGGGGGACACGCCCGGGCCCCTCCTCGGTCACGCGGTGCTGGGGGGTGACAAGCGGGGGGTCCGGGACCCCCATGGCAGCGTCCGGCGGTGCTGTGGTGCCTGGAGAGGGGACACGGGGGGGGGGCTGTGACGGGACCCCCATGTCCCTGTGTCCCCATTCCAGGAGGTTCTTCGGCCATGTCCCCATCCTGGGGGGTTCTCCATCCCTGTCCCCATGTCCCCACCTCAGGGGATTTCTCCAGGTGTGTCCCCTGCCCCCGTCCCAGGGACTTCTCCCGCCCATGCCCCTGTCCCAGGGGGTGTCCCGACGTCCCCATGCCGGGGGTTCTCAGATGTGTTCCCATCCTGGGGGTTCTCCCAGTCACGTTCCTGTCCCGTGGTGTCCCCGTGTCCCCATCCCAGGGTGTTCTCCAGGTGTCTTCCCATGTCACCATCCCAGCGGGTTCCCGGGTATGTCCCTGTCCCAGGGTGTCCCTGGGGGTGTCCCCGGGGCTGTCCCCATACCCACCTATGCCGGCAGCCCCCGGGAGAAGGCGAACATTCCGGGCAGGTACAGCGCGTCCCCTCCCTTCCCGGCCTCCTCCACCGCCCGGCACTCGGCCTCATCCCGCTGCCGGATCTCCTGCGGGCACAGCACGGGCTGGCACCGGCTGGGGGCACGGGGGGCCACAGGGGGCCACTGGGGGGACAGGGGGCACCTCACCTTGGCCGCCAGGTGATGGGCGGGGCCGCAGTTGTGGTACTTGTCCAGCACCTTGGGGACGTCGCCGGTGTCGAACTTGTAGCAGGCCAGGCAGGTCGGCTTCCGCTGGGGACACGGCGGGATGTCACCCCCCCGGGGGTGTCCCAGCCCCTGGCACCCACCGTTGTCCCCTCCGTCCCACCCTGGCACCCGCAGCAGCGCGGTGGGGGGAACGGGGGGCCCGGGGGACGTCCAGGGACTGTGTCACACCCAGGATGGGGCCCAAGGGAAGGGACACCCTGGGATGTGCCCTAAGGGGGGGGGACACTCCAGCACGTGGCTCGAGGAATGGGGACACCCCAGGATGTGTCCCGGGGGAGGGGGAATGTTGCCCGAGGCAGGGGGACACCTTGGAATGTGCCCTAAGGGAGGTGGGGGGACACCTGGGCTGTGACCCAGGGGAGATGGGGACACTCGCGGGATGTGGCCCAAGGGAGGGGGGGACACCCCAGGGTGTGGGACGTGCACCGAGGGATGGGAGCGCCCTGGGATGTGCCTCAGGGACGAGGGGACGCCCAGGCCGTGCCCCCTCACCCGGTTCTCCACCACGCGGCACTGGCGCTGCGGGCCCCGCTTGCGGCACGACGTCTGCGCCAGGCCCAGCCGGAGCTGCACGAACGTCCCCGAGGGATCCTCCTGCGGGAACGCGGCTGGGAGGGCGTGCCAGGGACCCCAGACCCCACAGCCTCCCAGGAAATCCAGCCCCCGGAGGAATCCCAAACCCTGGGAGCAACCCAAAGCCCCCAGAGGGACCCCAAATGCCAGGAGGGACCCTGAGCCCCACAGATCCCAACCCCTGGGAGGGACCCCAAACTCCAAAGGGCCCCTGAATCCTGCAGACTCCCAGGGAAATCCAGCCCCGGGAATGACCCCAGGGTGGCTCCAGGGTGGGTGAGTGGCCCAAAGGGGGGGTGCCCAGAGCTCCTGGCTCTTCCTGGACGTGAGTGGTGCTCCAGGGGCAGCGGGATGGACCCGGATCCGTTAATGAGTAACCGAGCTCAGCCAGGCCCAGCCAGCAGGGCTGATCCCGGGCACTCCAGGACACCCTGGCACCCACTGCCCACCTGTTCCCTCTGGGACACCCCACCCCACTGCCCTGACCCCCTTGTCATTCCCATGGCCATCCTGGATCCCAGTCCTGAACCCTGAAATCCTGGTGCTCATCCCCATCCACCTCCCACTCCCTTGGGGACACTCCAACCCGTTCCCCATTCCCTCTGGGACACCCCAACACCCTCCCCATTCCCACGGCCATCCTGGATCCTTAATCCCAGATCCCAATCCCAAATCCCATTGCTCACCCCCTCAGTGATCCTCTCCACCACCCTCCCTGTTCCTGTGGCCATCCCAAACCCTGGATCCCAGATCCTGAATGCTGTTACTCACCTGCTCGATGATCCTCTCCACCGACTGTTCCATCTGAGACACCCCAAATACCTCCCCATTCCCTCTGGGATGCCCCAACCCTCTCCCCATTCCTTCAGGACATCCCAACTGTGTCCCCAACCCTCTCCCCATTCCTTCCAGGACATCCCAGCTGTGTTCCCAGCCCTCTCCCCATTCCTTCCAGGACATCCCAACTGCCTCCCCAACCCTCTCCCTGTTCCTTCCAGGACATCCCAACTGTGTCCCCAACCCTCTCCCTGTTCCTTCCAGGACATCCCAACTGTGTCCCCAACCCTCTCCCTGTTCCTTCCAGGACATCCCAACTGTGCCCCCAACCCTCTCCCCATTCCTTCCAGGACATCCCAGCTGTGTCCCCAACCCTCTCCCCATTCCTTCCAGGACATCCCAGCTGTGTCCCCAACCCTCTCCCTGTTCCTTCCAGGACATCCCAACTGTGTCCCCAACCCTCTCCCCGTTCCTTCCAGGACATCCCAACTGTGTCCCCAACCCTCTCCCCGTTCCTTCCAGGACATCCCAGCTGTGTTCCCAGCCCTCTCCCCATTCCTTCCAGGACATCCCAACTGTGTCCCCAACCCTCTCCCTGTTCCTGTGGCCACCCTGAGCCCCAGATCCTAATTTCAATCCCTGCTGCCCCGTTCCATGACCCCCCCAGCCGCCTACTCCCTCCTGGACACTCCGTCCCCCTCTCCCCTCCCTCTGGGACACTCGACCCCCCTCCCCGGCCCCCTCCCCGTTCCCGTGGCCACCCCGGCCCCGCTCCCGGTCCCGCCGCGGTCCCGCCGCTCACCCTCTCGACGAGCCCGTCCAGCTCCCTCTCCCTGAAGAGGAAATGCACGTTGCTGCGCCCGTGGAAATATTCCAGCACGTCCCGGACCACGCGCCGCTGGAGCGGGGACTGCCCCGCGGCCACCGCGGCCACCGCCAGGGCCAGCGGCAGCCACAGGGACACCGGGAGCCTCATCCCGCCGGGAATGGCCTCACCGAGCCGCCGGCCGCTGGCGTCGGGCTGGCATGAGCCGATTTCCTGGGATCTGCCCCCAAATCCGCCCCCGGGACGGCCCCGCGAGTGACCGGGAGGAGGGGCTGGAATGGGATGGGGGGAGAGACCCCGGGAATGGCGGCGGGGCCCGCGGGAATCCCGGCCTGCCCTCGGGAATGGGCTCCTGCCCTCGGGAATGGGCTCCTGCCCTCGGGAACGGCTCCTGCTCCCCAGGAACAAACTCCTGCAGCCCCGGGAATGGCGTCATGCTGGGAATGACATCCCGGGAACCAACTCCAGCCCTCTGGAATGGCTTCATGTCCCACTGGGAATGACATCCCGCCCCCGGGAACAACCTCCTGGGCCCCAGAAATAGCTTCATGTCCCGCTGGGAATGGCATCCTGCCCCCGGGAACAAACTCCTGCCCCGGGAAATGGGCTCCACCCCCTGGGAACAGGCTCCTGCCCCCCGGGAATGGATTCATGTCCCACTGGGAATGACGCTGTGCCCCTGGGAATGTCTCCTGCCCCCAGGAACGGGCTCCTGAACACCAGGAACGGGCACCAGCCCACTGGGAATGGGCTCCTGCCTCTGGGAACAACTCTCTGCCCCCCGGGAATGTCATCACATCCTGCCGGGAATGACATCCTGCCCCCAGGAACAGACTCCCGGCCACGGGGAATGGTGTCATGTCCCTGGGAATGAGCTCCTCCCCCTGGGAACGGGATCGTGCTCCTGGGAATAGCCCCCGAACCCCAGGAATGTGCTCCTGCCCCCTGGGAATGGCACAATGGCCCGGGAATGTGTTCCTGCCGCAGGAATGGGCTCCCCGGGAGCTGCCTGCTGTCCCCGGGAATGGTATCCTGTCCCTGGAACAACCTCCTGCCTCCGGGAATGGGCTCCAGCCCCCCGGGAATGGCTCCTGCCCCCGGCCCAAGCGTCCTTGTCCTGGATGTCCCCTCCGGGAGCAGGAGCGGGGGGATGATGAACGCCAGGAGATGGGGGGGCACCGGGAGAGACGGGGGGTGTCGAGGGGGGGGACACGGAGGGGACCGGGGAACATTGGGAGGACGTGGAGAGGCTGAAGGGGGGAGGGGAAGGGACGGGGGGGACACGGGGGGACACAGGGTGGGCACCGGGGGGAGCGGGGGGCGCTGGGGGGGCTGAGGAGTCGTGGGGAGACACCGGGGGGACACAGGGAGGCACAGAGGAGTCACTGGGGGACAATGGGGGACAGTGGGGGCACCAGGTGGGCACTGGGGGAACACTGGAATTACTGGGGGGCCACTGGAGGGGCAGTGGGGGTGACACTGGGGGCACTGGGGGCACTGGGGATGACACTGGGGGGCACTGGGGGCACTGGGGGATGACACTGGGGGGCACTGGAGGAGCACTGGGAGTGACACTGGGGTCACTGGGGTCACTGGGGGTGACACTGGGGGGCACTGGGGGCACTGGGGGTGACACTGTGGGGCACTGGGGGGCACTGGGGGTGACACTGGGGGGTCACTGTGGGGCACTGGAGGAGCACTGGGGGTGACACTGGGGGATCACTGGGGGGCACTGGGGGCACTGGGGGTGTCACTGTGGGGCACTGTGGGTGACACGGGGGGGCACTGGAGGTGACACTGGGGGTGACACTGGGGGCACTGGGGGCACTGGGGGGACTGGGAGTGACACTGGGGGTGACACTGGGGGCACTGGGGGGACTGGGAGTGACACTGGGGGGCACTGGGGGCACCGGGGGGCGGGGTCTCTCCGGCCCCTCCCATCCCGTCGCAGCCCGGTGATGCCGACAGGGGGCGCTGCCTCAGGCCCCGCCCCCGGCCGGGCGCGGCCACGCGGTGGGCGTGTCTTTTCTAGATGACATCACGGACGCGTTGACGTCAACGGGCGCGTGACGTCATCGCGTCGCGGGACAGCGGCCGCCCGTGAGGTTCCCTGGGAGGGGGCTCGGGGGGGTGTCACGTGACCCCGGGGACACGAACGGGGGGCTTGGGGGGGTCGGGGGGGTTCGGTGTGTCAGGGGGTGTTTTTGGGGGCCTCGGGGGGGACACGCGGGGCAGCGGCGGGTTCGAGGCTCCCGCAGGAGCTGCTGGGGGGGATCCGGGAGCGCTGGTGCTGGGGGGGCCATCCCGAACCCCCCGACCGGCACCGGGGAGAACCGGGACCCCCCGAGCCCGGGATCGGGGGCTGGATCTGCTCCCGGCTCCAGGGGCTGTTCTCGGTTAACGAGTGATTCCATAGTCCCGGCTGTTCCATATTCCCGGGGGCTATTCCCGGCTGGACAAGGCCAGGCTGTCCCGGGGCTATTCCTGCCTCCCAGGGCTATTCCTGACTGCCCAGACGAGGCTGTGCCGGGGCCATTCCCGGCTCCCGGGGCCATTCCTGGCAGGACGAGGCTGCCTCGGGGCCATTCCCAGCTCCGGGGCTATTCCCGGTTGTCCAGGAGATGCTGTACCGGGGCTGTTCCCGGCTCCCGGGGCAATTCCTGACTCGGGGGCTGTTCCCGGCTGGATAAGCCGTTGCCGTGCTGGGGTCGTTCCCTGCGCCGGGGCCATTCCCGGCCCCAGGGCCATTCCCGGCTGCCGCTCCCGCTGTCTCCCATCCCATCCGTCCCATCCCATCCCGAACTACAACTCCCAGCTCTCCCGAGCTCTCTCGGTTCGCAGTCGGATCCGGCCCCGCTCGGCCCTTCCGCGCCCCAAATTCCGGGGGGAGGAGGAGGAGGAGGAGGAGGGGCGGGGGGAGGCCGAGTCCGCTCCGGGGCTGCCGAGCTCCTCGGGCCCGGCTCCCGCTCCCATCCTGTTCCCATCCCCACTCACGTTCCCGCTCTCCCGCTCTCCCAGGACCCCGCTGCGGCCATTTGAGCGAGTCGGTGGCGGAAGGAGACCAGGAAAAGGACGGGAAGAGGCCGGGAAGGGGCTGCGAAAGAGCCCGGGAAGAGGCTGAGGAAGAGGCCGGGAAGGAAGCGGGAAGGGGCCGGGAAGGGGCCCCGGGGGAGCGATGTCCGCGGGGGGAGCGCCCCAGGTACGGGGGGATTCCCGGCGGGATCCCCCGCGGCTCCGCCACCCCGGGACTTTTGGGGGGGACGTTGTGGGGGATTCCCGGGCCCGGGACTCCTCCCGTGCTTTTTTTTTTTCAATCCCTGGAACCCCCCGAGAATTTTTCCGGGAAATCGGCGCTTTGGGAAGTCCCGGAGCGCGGGGCCCCCTCCGGCTCTGCCCTCCACCAGGCTCTGGGCTTGGGAACATGAGAGGAATCCTGGGGGACACGGGGGGGGTCGGGGCTTGGGGCGTTCGGTGTCCCTGGAAAAGCAGGATCGGCTCCTCAGGGAAGGTTCCTCCCTCAGTGCGGATCCTGGGGGGGGCTCAGGGAGGGGGGGGGTCAGCCCCCAGCTCAGGGGGCAGGGATCTGGTTTGGAGGGACAGGAACCAGGTTTAGGGGCAGGGGTCGGGATGGGGGAACAGGAATCTGCTGGGGGAGCAGGGATCTGGTTTGGGGGGGCAGGGATCTGGTTTGGGGAACAGGGATCTGTGGGGGCTCATCCCTCAGCTCTGGGGGCTCTGCCAAGCCCTGCTTGCTCTGATGGGGTCACAGGCACGGAGGGGCTGCAGCTTCCCTACACTGAGGGAGATTCCAGTGGGTCCCAGTGCTGGGATTTCCTGTGGGAATGAGCCCACCCGGAGCTGGGACCCCCCGAGGGGACATGGGAGAGTGGGGTGACATCCCTGTTACCCGGGCAGGACGTGCTCCAGTGCCGTGGGCTCCATCCTGGAGCGAGGGGCCTGGACCTGGGATTTGGGATGCAGGAACAAGGGGATGATCCCTGCCCAGGGAAGTGTCCCAAACTGACACAAAGGGGCCCCAAATGGCCCCCAAATGCCGCTGAGCTGCTGCCCCCTCCCCAGCCCGCCCACGCCCTGGATCTGCTCCCGTATTCCCGGCTGAGCCCGGCGCCGCGGGCCGGATCCCAGCTGGATGCTGTCGGCGCCGAGATCCCGTCGGATCCCTGCACAGGTGGGTGGTGGGGGCACGGGCAGAGGACCCTGTGGGATGGGGGGTGGGGAATTCTCCGCTCAGAGCTCGGTGCATTTTTGTGGGAGCTTTGAACTGGGACGATGAAAGTGTTCCGGGGGATTCCCGGGAGTGGGAGAGGCTGCGGGAAGAAACCAGAGCCCAGGAATGGCTCCATCCCACCTCACCTGGAACCTGGTTCTCCAGGAGCGGCTCCGTCCCCCATTCCCAGAGCCCAGTTCTCCCAGGAGCGGCTCAATCCCGCCTTCCCAGTTCTCCCAGTGGCAGCCCCACCCCTGACCCCGGCTCTCTGGGTGACAGCTGTGTCCCCTGGTCCCCGACTGGCTCCCCCAGTGACGGCCGTGTCCCCCCAGGGTACCGGTTCTTCAAGCCGGTGGGTTTGTTTGGGATGAAGGCGCCGGAGGAGCCGTTCGGAGCCGCGCGGACGGGCCCGGAGGACTCCAAGGCCCTGGGCAGCCCCTGCGCCGGTGAGTCTGGATCCTCGGGAATGGGGGAGCGCTGGGATTGGGGGGAAGGGATGGGCTGGGGCCGTGTGAGGACACTTGGGACCTTCAGAGACGCTTTGGGGCCAGTGGGGGGCCGTTCTGAGCCAGTGTAAGGCAGTTTGGGACTATTCTGGGTCAGTTTGGAGCCGGCGTGGGGCTGGTTTATGTCCATTTTGGGCCAGTTTTCAGCCATTTTGGAGCCATTTGGTGGCCATTCTGGGCCCGTTTGCAGCCATTTATGACCAATTTATGGCCATTCTAGGCCAGTTTGGGCCAGTTTTGTGGACCAGTTTTTGCCGGTTTGGACCAGTTTATGTCCATTCTCAACCAGTTTTGGCCATTCTGGGCTGGTTTGGGCAGTTTTGGGCCAGTTTTTGTCATCCTGGGGCAGTTTGCTCCCATTATGGGCAATCCCGAACCAGGTTGTGGCCAGTTTATGGTAATTTCGGGTCAGTTCTGACCAGTCTGGGCCAGGTACTGGCAGTTTTTTGCTGGCACCGGCCCAGCACCACTGCAGGTGAGGGGTGCAGGAGGTTGGGGGGTGTCACAGACTGGGGAGTGCAGTGGGTTTTTGGGGGCACTTCGAGGTGTCACAAACTGGGAGCTTCGAGGGGGGTTTGGAGGCTGTTTGGGGGGCCACAGACCACGGTGATTCCATGTTGGGGGTCGCACATGGAGCGGGGGGGGCTGGATCCAGGGCCTTCCCACGCGGGACAGCCTGGAATTGCCGAGGGCCGGGCTGACTGCGGGCTGTCTCCGGTGCAGTGGAGCCCGGGCGGGTGAGCAAGGTGGAGCCCGAGGAGAAGCCCGGGATCGGCGCCGGCTCCCTGGAGCTGTTCCCGGCCGCCGGCAGCAGCTCCGGCCGCTGGTTCCCCGGCGGGCAGCGTGGCCCCGAGCCCCCCCGGGACCCCCCGGCCCCCCGCGCCGGCTGCTGGGGGGCCCAGGGGGGCGTCCCCGGCCCCTTCCGCTGCGGGCAGTGCGGGAAGGGCTTCCGGCAGAAGCAGAGCCTGGTGACGCACGAGCGGATCCACACCGGGGAGAAGCCGTTCCGGTGCGGGGACTGCGGGAAGAGCTTCAGCCAGCGGCCCAACCTGCTCACGCACCGGCGGGTGCACACGGGCGAGCGGCCCTTCCCCTGCGCCCAGTGCGGCAAGAGCTTCTCGCAGAAGGCCAACCTGCTGGCCCACCAGCGCATCCACGGCGCCCACCCCGACGAGGGCAAGGCGCGGGCGCGGCCGGCGCGGGGCTGCGCCGAGGACACGCCCTTCGTGTGCCCCGAGTGCGGGAAGAGCTTCCGGCAGAAGCCCAACCTGATCACGCACCGGCGCATCCACACGGGCGAGCGGCCCTTCTCCTGCTTCCTGTGCGGCCGCAGCTTCAACCAGAAAACCAACCTGGTGACGCACTACCGGGTGCACACAGGTGAGCGGCCCTTCGCCTGCGCCCAGTGCGGGAAGCGCTTCACCCAGAAAACCAACCTGGTCACGCACCAGAGCACCCACACCGACCTGCGCCCCTTCCCCTGCGCCCAGTGCCACAAGTGCTTCAAGGACAAGGTGTCCCTCAAGGCCCACCAGAAGACGCACGTCCCCCGCCAGCGCCGCTGCCTCGCGCGCGGCCCGGTCCCCGCCGCGCCCTTCGGGGCCGCGCCCGCCCTGCTGCCCCCCGCGCCCGCCCCGCAGGACCCCCCCTTCGCCCCGCTCCCGCCCGCCCCGAAGCCCCCCGAGGGCGCCGAGCTGTTCCCCTGCGAAGAGAAGGGCTTCCCCCCCCCGCCCCCGGGCGAGCCCCCCTTCCCCTGCGCCCACTGCGGCGATGGCTTCTGCCCCAAGGTGCCCCTGCTGCGGCCCCCCGAGGCGCCCCCAAACTTCTCCCCCGGCCCCCCCCTCCTGGGGCCCCCGGGGGCACAGCCGGGGCTGGGGGACGCCACGGCCCCCCCAGAGAAGCCCTTCATCTGCAACCAGTGCGGGAACAGCTTCGGGCTCTGGCTCGCCCTCGTCGCCCACCAGAAGAGCCACGCGGGGCACAAGCCGTGCCCCGGGGCCCCCCCCGAGCCCGGTCCCGGCGCGGAGCTGCCCCCCGGGTCCCCCCCGGCACGGGCGGGCGAGGCCCGGCCCTGGCCGTGCCCCGAGTGCGGGCGCAGCCTGGCGCAGTGCGAGCGGCTGCTGCGGCACGGGCACGGCGCCGGCGGGCGCGGCCCCTTCCGCTGCGACACCTGCGGGAAGCGCTTCAGCCTCAAAACCAACCTGGCCACACACCAGCGCATCCACACAGGTGAGCGGCCCTTCACCTGCGGCGTCTGCGGCCGCCGCTTCAACCAGAAGGGCAACCTGGTGACGCACTACCGGGTGCACACGGGCGAGCGGCCCTTCGCCTGCGCCCAGTGCGGGAAGCGCTTCGCGCAGAAGCCCAACCTGCTGGCCCACCAGAAGACCCACCTGGGCCGCCAGCCCTTCACCTGCCTCGAGTGCCCCAAGCGCTTCAAGAGCAAACTGTCCCTGCGGGTGCACCAGCGGGTGCACGCGGGGCCCCCCGGCACGGCCCCCGGCACCGCCGACCCCGCCGGGGCCCCCTTCCCCTGCGGGCCCTGCGGGGAGGCCTGCGGCGAGCACGGGGGGCCGCCGGCGAACCCGCGCGGGCGGCCCCACTCCTGCCCCGAGCAGCGCCGGCCCTGCGCCGAGCACCACCACCCCTGCACGGAGCAGCACCGCGCCTGTGCCGAGCAGCTGCACGCCTGTGCCAAGTGCCCCTGCGCCAAGCGGCTGCACCCCTGCCTCGAGCAGCCCCGGCCCTGCGGTGAGCGGCCCCACGCCTGCGAGCGGCCCCACGTCTGCGAGCGGCCCCACACCTGTGCCGAGCAGCCCCACACCTGTGCCGAGCAGCCCCACGCCTGCGAGCGGCCCCACGGCTGTGCCGAGCAGCTGCACCCCTGTGCCGGGTGTCCCCACGCCTGCGCCGAGCGGCCCCACGCCTGCACCAAGCAGCCCCACGGCTGCGCCGAGCACCCTCACGCCTGCGTGGAGCAGCCCCGCGCCTGCGGCGAGTGCCCCCACGCCTGCGCCGAGCGCGCCCACCCCTGCGAGCAGCCGCCGCCCTGCGCCGAGCAGCCCCAGCCGTGCCCCGAGTGCCCCCACGGCTGCGCCGAGCGGCCGCACGCGTGTGCCGAGTGCGGGAAGCGGTTCCGGCAGAAGGTGAACCTGGCCGTGCACCTGCGCACGCACACGGGGGAGCGCCCGTTCCGCTGCGCCGACTGCGGCAAGGGCTTCAGCCAGAAGGCCCATCTGCTGCGGCACCGCCGCACCCACGGCGCCGGCCTCGCGCCCGCCTGCTCCGCCGGGGACCCGCTGGGCAAGGGCCCTGAGCCCCCGGCCCTGCTGCTGCCCCCCTGCTCCCGCGGGGCCCCCCCGGCCCGGCCCGACAGCCCCTCGGGCGCCGCCGACATCCTCCTGCAGCTCATGCAGGACGAGCACCCCCCGGGCCCCGGAGCCCCCCCGGTGCCCCCGTGCAAGTGCCCGGGGGAGGGTCCGGGCCCCAGGGCGCCGGGGCTGCCCCCCCCGTGCTGCTGTGCCGCCTGCCTGGCCCCCCGCCCCCCCGAGCCCCCCCGGGGGCAGCTCTGGGCCAAGGCCGGGGGCTGCGCGCGGGCCTTCGAGGAGAAGCGCGTGCCAGGAATGCCGGGAACGCCGGGAGCGCCGGAGCAGGAGCACATCGAGGAAAAACCGGCCCCGTGTCCCGGCTGTCTGTAACCCCCCGGGACCCTCACGGGGACGTGCACCAGGATGCACGCTGGGGCCCTTGCCAGGACCCCCACCCCTGCCCCCGCACTGGGACCCTCGCTGGGACCTGTCCAGGCCGCCTGTGACCCACAGCAGGACCTGCACTGGGACCTGCCCTGGCTGTCTGGGACCCCCCTGCACTGGGACCCCCACCAGGACCCCCACGGGCAAGGGCCGGCCCTCAGCTCCCACGCCGGACCCTGACGAGGACGGAGCCGAGGGCTCGGAGCCGAGGGGTCGGAGCCAGGGTGATCCCTCTGGCTGGACGTGACACTGGGACTTGGAGGAGCCTCGGGGGGATTGGATGGGGCAAACCAGAGCCAGACTGGGACATGGCCCATTTCTGGCTCGGGAAGACACCAAAGGACTGGAGGGGGTGCCACTGGACCTGGATCTGCCATGTTGGCTCCGGCCACACAGACTGGGAAGAGCTGGATCCAGTGGCTTAAAAGTTGCATCCACTGGAGGCAGCCATGGGGCGAGAGGGCTCCAGCTGCTTCCAGAACCTTCCAGGCTGTTCCAGACTGGATGGCATTCCACAAGGACATGGTTGGGATGGAAGAGCCAAGCCCTGCCACTGCAGGAGTCTTGAGGCCCTTTCTCCTGTTGGATGACCTGGGATCCCCAGTCCGGCTCCACACAGAGGAGCTGGGAGAGCACTGGGAAAACAGCCAGGAAAATGGCCTGGAAAGGGTCAGCTCTGCTTCCAGAAGGGACCCGGAGATGCCTCTGGTCCGGGGGGGGCGGGGGGGGCAGCTTGTGCTTCTGCTTGCTCTGGATAACTGTGCTTTGGGACTTGATATTGGTGGGGGCTGGGGGGGCTTCCAGGGGCGTGGGGGGCATGGGATGCTTGTTGGGCTTTGCTTGGCATCTCTGTGTCCCCCCTGGTGTGACAGAGCCAGTGGCCAGGGGGCTGCAGCCTCGGGCAGAGCTTTGGCCATGGGCACCGGGATCTGCCATCGCTTCATCCCAAAGGGAATAGGATCTTCTGAGGGGACCGACGCGGGGCAGCCACCGCTGGAGCCCCAGCCGGGCAGGGGGTCCCGCCCCAGCCCTCTTCTTCCCCCAGCTCTGCTCTCTGCAATTCTATTTTTTGAGGTTATTTAAAATAAAAGCTTCTGATGGCTCCAGCAGCTCTGGGTGCTCTGTCCGGGAATGGGGGGACACGGGGGTCTCCCTGGAGCCTCAATCCCAGCCTGAGTCCCGGCAAAGGCTGTGCCAGCTGCAGCCCCCGGACCGTCACCGTGACCAAGGGGCCACCGGGACAGTGACAGTGCCGGGACCCTCCAGCGCGCCCTGTGGCCACCAAACCTCCCTGGACACCAGGTGGGAGCTCAGGACCAGCGCGGCCACCCAGCCCACCCCGGGGTCAGGGCCGCCCACCCCGGGGTCACCGTCACATCCGCTGGGGTGGCACTGAACCCCCCTGTGCTCCTGGGGACGGACCGGGGGTCTCACACCGAGGGCTCTCACTGAGGGGATACGCTGGGACACAGACCCCCCCTGTCCCGGCTGGGGGCACTTGGAGCCCCCCCGGGTGGGTTCTGGGAGGATCGGGCACACGGGCTGCAGGGGCAGGACCCGGGGTGGCTTTGGCTGTTCCTGCCCTGCTGTGGGACCCTCCGGTGTGGGACCCTCCTCTGGCATGAGACCCTCCAGTGTGGGACCCTCCGGTGTGGGACCCTCCTCTGGCATGAGACCCTCCAGTGTGGGACCCTCCGGTGCGGGGGCTCCCAGACGCCCGGAGTAGCCGGGCTGGTTTCTCGGGATTTGGGGGGGTGGAAGGTGGTCTTGGAGAGCAGGGGGGGTGTCCCCGAGCAGCCCTGCTTGGGGGGTGGCCGATGCTGCCGGGGTGGGCGATCGCGGCCGCCATCGCCCGGGCAGAGCCCCCCAAACCACGCGGGGACCCCCGGCCCGTGGGTGCGGGGGTGGGTCCGCGGTACCCCACAGCCGCTCCCGGGGCCCCCCCCGCTCCCGGGGCCGCCCCCCAGCCCGGCCCCTTCCGCCGCCGCCATCGGGCCCCGCCCGGAGATGCAGAGGGTGAGCGGGGGGGCCCGGGGAGCGCCGGGAGGGCTCGGGGGGTCCCGGGGGTCCCGCTGTCCCGGCGGAGGGGCCGGTCCCGGGGTTGGGGGGGCTCCGGGGGTCCCCGCGGGGGGGGGCGGTCCCGGCGCCTCCGGGCGCCGGTAACGGGAGGGGGGAGGGCGGGCTCCCAGAGACCGGGGGGCGGCACCCGGGGGTCCCCACGGCCCAGGGGGTCCCCACAGCTCCTCCCGGGAGTCCCCACAGCCCCAGGGAACTCCAGAGCCCCAGAGGTCCCCACTCAGCTCTAGGGTCCCCTGAGGTCCCTGCTCCTCCGGGGGGTCCCCACGGCCCCAGGGGACCCCACTGCTCTCGCCCCGGGAAGCCCCCCAGCCTTGGAGGTCCCTGCTCTTCTCATGAGTCCCCACAGCCCCAGGGAGCCCCGGGGGTCCCCGCTCCTCCCGGGGCCCCCCACAGCCCTGGCAGTCCCCCCGGGCCCCCTGTGCTGACTGTGGGGGCCGGAGCAGCCCCAGGACGGGACCCTTTGGGACCCGGGAGGTGCTGCAGTCCTGGGGTGACCTGCGAGGGGTGCCCAGCGAGGGGTCGGTGCTGCCGGCTCCCCTGAGCCCCCCGCTGTCCCCCCAGGGGGTGCCCCCCGACGTGTCGTTCGAAGAGGTGGCCATTTACTTCTCCCCCGAGGAGTGGGCAGAGCTCCTGCCCTGGCAGCGGGCGCTGTACCGAGAGGTCATGGCTGACAACTACGACCTGGTGGCCAGTCTGGGTGAGGGGCCGGGGGGCACCGGGCTGGGGGTGTCACCAGGCCGGGGGCATGGAGATGGGGGTGTCACAGGGCTGGGGGCATGGCCGGAGGCTGAACCGGGGGTCCAGAGGCTCGGCCGGGGGGCAGAGGCTGAGGTGAGGGTCCACAGCCTCAGCCAGGGGTCCGGGGGCTCAGCAGGAGTCCAGGGCTTGGCTGGGGGTCTGGAGGCTGAGCGGGGGGCCCAGGGGCTCAGCCGGGGGTTCAGAGGCTCAGCTGGGGCCTGGGGGCTTGGTCAGGGATCTGGGGGCTGAGCCAGGGGTCTCCAGCCCATGCCCCCTGGCAGAGCCCGACCTGCCATCTCCCGATGGGAACAGGGCCGCGAGTGCATCTGCGGGTGTGAGGAATAAAGGCACCAGACCCCCCGGCCCTGCTGCCCCACAGCCCCCCATCTGCTGTGCCCCGGCCCCACAGCCCCCACAGCCCCCACAGTCCCCAGGGCAGCCCCCACAGCCCCCAGGGCAGCCCCCAGCCTGGTGGCGGTGACAGTCCCCCAGTGACACTCACCGGGCATTTTGGGGGGCACTGAGGGGTCTCTTTCCTGCACAGGCTCCGTGTCCAAGTTCACTGACATGAAGGAGGAGTCGCCCGGGGAGGTCCCCTGTGCTGGGGGGGACAGCAGAACTTCTGACGCCTCCAGCACCGGTGAGTGACTGGGGACATCCTTGGGGACGCCCTGGGCTGTCACTGGGCCCTGAGGGGCTGGCCGGGGCCAGAGCCCCTGTCTGACACTCCCTGGACTGGGTGGGAGTCCCTCCCAGCCCCCCGCGTGTCACGGGGGTGGGTGGGGGGCCGACGGTGGGTCTGGGACCCCCTGTGGTGACACCCTTTTCCCAACAGTTGCCCAGGACGGTTCCGCCAGTGAGGATGATGACGGGGGACGCTGGGAATTGGGGTTTGGAGCCCCCCGCTCCGGCTGGAGCGACACCGCCCCGGGGGGCTGTGCCGGGGACCCCCCTCGGGAGGAGCCGGGGCCGCCCCCGTGTGACGGGCTGGGGCTGAGCTGCGGGGCCGAGCCGGGGGGTGCCCGGGCCGAGCCCCCCGCCCCGGGCCCGCCGTTCGTGTGCGGGACCTGCGGCAAAGCCTTCCGGCACCGCCGCAACCTCCTCACGCACAAGAGGCTGCGCGGGGGGAACCGGGCCCGGCACGGCTGCCCCGAGTGCGGCCGCGCCTTCTGCCTGCGCGGGGACCTGCTGCGGCACCGCGGCTCGCACCGGGGGCGGCCCGGCTGCCACCAGTGCCCCCAGTGCCCCCAGTGCCACCAGCACCCCCAGTGCCCCCAGCACCCCCAGTGCCACCAGTGTCCCCAGTGCCCCCAGTGCCCCCAGTGCCACCAGTGTCCCCAGTGCCCCCAGCACCCCCAGTGCCCCCAGCGCCCCGCGGGCGCGGCGGGGCCGTGCGAGGACCGTCCCTTCGTGTGCGGGCGCTGCGGGCGCGGCTTCGCCTGGCGGGAGAGCCTGGAGCTGCACGTGCGGGCCCACCCGCCCCCCGAGCGCGCCCACCCCTGCCCCGAGTGCGGCCGCGCCTTCCGCAGCCGCGGGCACCTCCGGCTGCACCGCCGGGCACACGCCGGGCACCGGCCCTTCCCCTGCGCCCGCTGCGGCCGCGCCTTCGCCTCGCAGGCCAACCTGAGCACACACCGCCGGCTGCGCCGCCGCTGCAGGGACCCCCGGGCACAGGGGAGCAGGGACCCCCACAAGGATGGGAACAGGGACCACCCCAGGGATGGGAATAGGGACCCCCAAGGGGAGAGGGACCCCCGCGGGGATGGGAACAGGGACCACCTCGAGGATGGGAATAGGGACCCCCAAGGGGAGAGGGACCCCCATGGGGATGGGAATGGAGACCCTCGTGGGGATGGGAACAGGGACCCCTCCAGGAATGGGAACATGGACCCCCACGGGGATGGGAAGAGGGACTCTCACGGGGATGGGAAGAGGGACTCCCCCAGGGAGGAGAACAGGGACCCCTGCGAGGAGAGGGAGCCCCACAGGGATGGGAACAGGGACCCCACCAGGGATGGGAACAGGGACCCCTCTGGGGAGAGGGACCCTCCCAGGGAGGAGAACGGGGACCCCCCCAGGGAGGAGAACAGGGACCCCCAGGGGGAGAAGGACCCCCACAAGGATGGGAACAGGGACCCCTTTGGGGAGAGGGAACCCCATGGGGATGGGAACAGGGACCCCCAGGGGGATGGGGACACCCCCAGGGATGGGAACAGGGACCCCCAGGGGGAGAAGGACCCCCCCAGGGATGGGAACAGGGACCCCCAGGGGGAGAGGGAGCCCCACAGGGATGGGAACAGGGACCCCCAGGGGGAGAGGGACACCCCCAGGGATGGGAACAGGGACCCCCAGGGGGAGAGGGACACCCCCAGGGATGGGAACAGGGACCCCCAGGGGGACGGGGACACCCCCAGGGACAGGGATTCCCCTGGAGACCAGGTCACCCGTGGGGACAGGGATCGCCAGGGGGACAAGGACCCCCTTGGGGATGGTGATGCCTGTGGGGTCAGGGACCCCCTGGGGAACGGGGACCTCCTCAGAGACAAGGATACCCTCAGGGATTGGGACCCCCTCGGGGATGGGGACACCTTCAGGGACAGGGGCACCCTTGGGGATGGGACCCCCCTCAGGGATGGGAACCCCCTCGGGGCCGGGGGTGGCCCAGGGGGTGACCAGCAGTAGCCACAGGATGGGATTGTCCCAGTGCTCCCATGAAGGTGGTACCAGTGCCACGGCCCATCCCGGACACCCCGGAACTGTGAGCACCTGGGGACCCCTGAAACCGCCTGAGGGGCTTCTCCGTGTCCCTTTGGGCCTCAGGAGTCCCTCTGGGATGTGTCTCCGTGTCCCTTTGGGCCTCAGGAGTCCCTCTGGGATGTGTCTCTGTGTCCCTTTGGGCCTCAGGAACCCCTCTGGGATGTGTCTGTGTGTCCCTTTGGGCCTCAGGAGTCCCTCTGGGATGTGTCTCCGTGTCCCTTTGGGCCTCAGGAGTCCCTCTGGGATGTGTCTCTGTGTCCCTTTGGGCCTCAGGAACCCCTCTGGGATGTGTCTCTGTGTCCCTTTGGGCCTCAGGAACCCCTCTGGGATGTGTCTCTGTGTCCCTTTGGGCCTCAGGAACCCCTCTGGGATGTGTCTCTGTGTCCCTTTGGACCTCAGGAACCCCTCTGGGATGTGTCTCTGTGTCCCTTTGGGCCTCAGGAACCCCTCTGGGATGTGTCTCTGTGTCCCTTTGGGCCTCAGGAACCCCTCTGGGATGTGTCTCTGCGTCTCTTTGCACACGGAGACACATCCCAGAGGGATGGATCAAGATACATCAAGATGTATCTGGACCTTGATATATCTTCAGACTTCAGAAAATCCCTCTGGGATGTGTCTCCATGTTCCCTTCAGGCCTTGAAGTACCTTCAGACTCTGAAATGTCTCTCCAGGGTGCTTCCCACTTCTTCAAGACCTCGGAAAATCCCTCTAGGGTGTGTCTCCATGTTCCCTTTGGGCACTGAAGTGCCTCCAGACCTCGGAATGTCCCTCCAGGGCACTTCCTAGTCCTCCCAGTCCCACCAGTGCCCTGCCCCAGGTCTGTGTTTAAAGCCAGGAGTCTCTTTATGTCTGTTTATTCTGATTATTGTCGTTTATTTATTCTTTTCTATTTTTCTATTTTATTAAATTCTATTTAGGTTATTCCAGCTGTTCTTCTACTTATTCTAATTCTTCTCCTCGTGTCCCTCCCGCTCCCTCTGGACCCACCAGCACCTACTGGGACAGAACCTCCCAGTCCTGGGGGTGCTGTGACAGTGGGAGCCACCACGTGTGCCCCCAGTGCCCCCCCAAAGAAACAAACCCCCAAAATTGGGGGGTTAATGGAGAAACGAGTAAAAAATGCAAATGAGGCTCAGGGGGTGGTTTGGGGGCACCCACGGACTGGGGGGGGCACCTGCAGCCCCACAGCCACCCCCAGTACGGCCCAGTACATATGGGGCAGCCCCAGTACGGCCCAGTATGGCCAGTTTACACAGACCACCCCCAGTACAGCCCAGTTCCCACAGACCAGCCCCAGTACGGCCCAGTATGGCCCAGTTTACATAGACCACCCCCAGTACAGCCCAGTACATATGGGGCAGCCCCAGTACGGCCCAGTTCACACAGACCAACCCCAGTACGGCCCAGTTCCCACAGACCAGCCCCAGTACAGCCCAGTACAGCCCAGTTCACACAGACCAGCCCCAGTACAGCCCAGTACGGCCCAGTTCCCACAGACCAGCCCCAGTACGGCCCAGTCCCTACAGGGCAGCCCCAGAGCCACTCCCAGTACAGCCCAGTTCACACGGAGCAGCCCCGCAGTGATTCCCAGTATGGGAATTTCCCTCCACTCCCAGTAAGCCGGAGGCTGCTCTGCACTGGGAGCACTGGGAGTGTCCCCCAGCTGGATGTCACCGAGCAGAGGACAGATGGTGACATTCCCACGGGAACGGGGACAGACCCCCCCCCTCCATCTGCCCACGGAGCCGGGAAGGAGGACGGGAATGCACTGGGGAAACTGGGACACCACGGAATCGGGGAACTGCTGAGGTGGGAAAAGCGCAGGACACTGCCCCGAGTCTGCCTGGCCCCGAGGCCACCACTGACCGTGGCCCAAGTGCCACCACTGACCGTGGCCCAAGTGCCACCACTGACCGTGGCCCAAGTGCCACCACTGACTGTGCCCCCAAGTGCCACCACTGCCCCATGTCCCCAAGTGCCACCACTGACCATGGCCCCAAGTGCCACCACTGACCGTGGCCCCAAGTGCCACCACTGCCCCATGTCCCCAAGTGCCACATCCCCACGGCTGTTGAGCCTCCCAGGGCTGGACAACCCTTTTCAGGAGGAATATTCCCAAAATATTCCCAAGATCCCACGTACAGCCCACCCCCTTGTGCCACCCGAGGCTGTTCCCAGCACTCCCAGCCCAGCGCCGGGAATGTCACCCTGTCACCTCCCTGCCACCCCCGGCTGTGACAACGCCGCGGCCCCGGGGGCTTTTTTGGGATGTCCCAGTTCCACGTGCCGGGAGCACACGTGGAGGATCCTCCGGAATCCGGGTCAGGGGGACGGGACACGGCGAGGGAGGTGCTGGGCCACGAGTCCTTTGTGCTCCAGGACTCAAATAACCAGGAACAATCCCGACCTTCCCTCTTCGGTTTTTGCCTTTCAGGTGAAGTCACGAGGCTGGGAGACGTTTTCCCAATTAAACTCCTGAAATCAGAGCAGAGCTGGGAGCAGGGAGGGGGGTTGGGGTGCTGAGGTGTCCCTCACCCTCCTCCAACACCCTTGAGGATGCGGATTTTTGGGACCAAACCCGCTTAGTTTTCCATGCCTGGAGCTGAGCTCTGGAGGGACGGGGGGTGGATGTGGCTCATCCCGGGATCTGCAGAGCCTTTGGACCCGGAGGGCCTCAGGCTGCTGCAAGTGATGGGACTGAGGTCCATAAAGGACATTTCCTCCCGTTTTTCCACATCCTCGGGGGTCACACGGTGCCTCTGCCCCCCCAGCAGCTTTCCCAAGGGAAATACAATTCCCAAGCCAGCCGGTGTCCCGGGATGCTGGAATTCCAGGCCTGCTGAGCCCCGGGTCGGATCCCCTGACCCTGGAACCACCCCAGGGCTGGGAAGGGCCCATCTCTGCCCCGGGGGTCGGCCCAGACTGGGCTGGAACAGGGGCAGGCTCCGGAATCCCTGTGGGACATCGGTGACATCACCGAGTCAGCAGAGCTGAAGGCTTTGAGAAATTGGAGAAAACAACCCAAATCCCACCAAAAGCGGGGTTTTCCATGGAACAGAGTGAAGGGACCTGCAGAGGAGATCCAGCTTTTAGGAATGAACTGGCAGGATGGGTGTGGTGAGATCCCAGCAGATAACAGGATAACGGAGACATCCCCACCGGCTGACAAGAAGGAAACACGAGGATTTTGGGACCCTGTGGGATTTTGGAGCGTGCACATTCCCGGTTCCAGCCTGGTTGTCTCCCCCCTCCTTCCCAATGGACCCTCAGCAAGTTCTGTGCAATTCCAGCAGGAGATTTTCCACACTGTCCTTGGGCCACCCCAGACAGGGACAATGGTCCTTCCCGGAGCTCTGACACTCCAGCTCAGCCTTCGGAGTCAGGGGTGGGAGGATCCCAAACCCACAACGTTCCAGCTGGAAAAGAGATCCGGGGGCTCGTGAGGGAGGTGGCTGGAGCCGAATCCAGCTGCTCCTGCTGTCCCTGCTGGGGAGGGTGTTCCCAGGGAGGGTGTTCCCAGGGAGGGTGTTCCCAGGGAGGGTGTTCCCAGGGAGGGTGTTCCCGGGGAGGGTGTTCACAGGGGGGGTGTTCCCAGGGAGGGTGTTCCCAGGGGGGGTGTTCACAGGGGGGGTGGTTCCGGGGAGGGTGTTCACGGGGAGGGTTTCACAGGGGGGGTTTTCAGGGGGGGTGTTCACGGGGAGGGTGTTCACAGGGAGGGTGTTCACAGGGGGGGTGTTCACGGGGAGGGTGTTCACAGGGAGGGTGTTCACATGGAGGGTCTCCACGGCCAACGAGAGCTCGGAGAGGAACCCCCGTGATCCAGAGGAACCCCCGTGATCCAGAGGAACCCCTTGATCCAGCGGAACCCCCGTCATCCCGAGGAACACCCGTGATCCAGAGGAACCCCCGTGATCCAGAGTAACCCCCGTCATCCATGAGTCTTGGCAGTGGCCGTGGACGGCCCGGAGGCCCAGAGTTTGGGTTGGCACCGGAGCAGGAGGTGGCACCGGAGCTGGAGGGGCCTCTCAACAGCCAGAATTACCAGGGAGAAGCAACATCCCTGTTCACTGAGGGATCCTGGGCACGGAGGGAGCCCCCCCGACAGGTTATGGGAATTCCTGAGGGAAGGGGAGCGGAGCCAGTCCCAGAGGAAAAGGTCTCCAGCTGGCCCTGGCCATCCCCGGGGGGAGGAACGGCCGGTCCTTCATCCCTGCACGGAGCCGGCGTGGTGGGGATGGCCTGGGGTGGGGGCAGAGAGGGAATGACCAGGAACACGGGGGAAACAGAGGGAATAACCGGGATAAAACCAGAGGGAATGACCGGGAACACGGGGGAAACAGAGGGAATAACCGGGATAAAACCAGAGGGAATAACCGGGATAAAACCAGAGGGAATGACCGGGAACACGGGGGAAACCAGAGGGAATAACCGGGATAAAACCAGAGGGAATAACCAGGATAAAACCAGAGGGAATAACTGGGATAAACCCAGAGGGAATAACTGGGATAAACCCAGAGGGAATAACCAGGATAAAACCAGAGGGAATAACTGGGAACACAGGGGTAAAACCAGGGGGAATAACCGGGATAAACCCAGAGGGAATAACTGGAATAAACCCAGAGGGGATAACTGGGTTATCCCCAGAGGGGATAACCGGGAACACGGAGGGAAACCAGAGGGAATAACCAGGATAAAACCAGAGGGAATAACTGGGAACACAGGGGTAAAACCAGGGGGAATAACCAGGATAAACCCAGAGGGGATAACTGGGATAAACCCAGAGGGAATAACCGGGATAAACCCAGAGGGAATAACTGGGATAAACCCAGAGGGGATAACTGGGATAAACCCAGAGGGAATAACTGGGATAAACCCAGAGGGAATAACTGGGATAAACCCAGAGGGGATAACCAGGATAAACCCAGAGGGGATAACTGGGATAAACCCAGAGGGAATAACTGGGATAAACCCAGAGGGAATAACTGGGATAAACCCAGAGGGAATAACCGGGATAAACCCAGAGGGAATAACTGGGATAAACCCAGAGGGAATAACCGGGATAAACCCAGAGGGGATAACTGGGATAAACCCAGAGGGGATAACTGGGATAAACCCAGAGGGGATAACTGGGAACACGGGGGTAGAGCCCCCCGGGCTGACCAGGGTGGGAAGGTGCCCCTGCCCAGGGGAGAACCCGCTGGAAGGTTCCCTGTGTCCCCCCCACCCCCCCGAAGGAGCCGGGGCTTTTCCCTGCTGGAAACCGGGACGCGGCTCCCGCAGTGCCCTGGAACCCCCGGAGCAGCGTTTGGGGCTGTTAAACACCCCCGGCCCGCCCTGGGGCTCCCAAACCCTCCCTTGGGGTTGGTTTAATGGCTCCTCCCTGGGCAGTTGTTTTACCTTTAACCCCCCGTCCTGCTCTTTAGTTTTGGTCTTTAAAACTGCTCATCCCATTTTTGGGGGCTCTTAAAAGCTCCTATCCCATTTTTGGGGGGCTTTCTAATCCACTTTACCCCGTGTTTTAAAACCACTTGGCCCATTCTGTTGTGACTTTTAAAGTGACTTTTCCTGTTTGGTTTTTTTTTGGCTTTTAACCAGTTTTGAGGGCATTTTTAAACCACTTATTACCGTTTATTTTTTGGCTTTTAAAATTACTTACCCTGGGGTGGGTTTGTATTTTTTTTTTTTGCTTTTTAAGAGCCTCTTATCCTGTTCTTCTGGAGCTTTTAAAACCGCTTTTCCCTTTTTTTCAGGGGTTTAAAAATGACTTTTCCTGGTTTTATTTTATTTTTTTTTTTGATTTTAAACCAACTAATCCCTATTTTTGGGGACTCTTAAAACCACTCGTCCAATTTTTTGTGGTTTTAAAGGCACTTAACCCATCTGGGGGGGGTTTAAAACTGCTCCTGCCGTTTCTGAAGGGC